TAAGTTTTATTTATAATTATATTTGATTTTTTTTCTTAAATTTCAGATTCCTTTTGACGAATATATCTAACCGAGAGATTATTTAATTGTTAAAAGTTCAGATGAGTGCAATATCGAGCAAAAAAAATAGTTCTGTATGAGCTCTAGATAGTACAAATACAATTTTTCACGATGATAAACATCCGAATATAGACTCGCTATTTCTCGATTTAAGAGTTATCATCCCACAAGAGACTAAATGATATTCAGCATTTTTATGAATATCCACCGTGATCCCGTTGAATCTGATTCTCGAATTTTTTTGTCCTGGATGTCTATGTACAAAAGCATAACATATTGATTCTATCTCTAGGACTTAGTGAATATCATCTGTTGTTTTTTCCCTATGTTACACAAGTTCTTTGAGTTCTTTTTTTGCCTCGTATATTCTCTTCTTTTTTCTTTTCTTCTGCTTTTATGTGTCTTTCCATGCATACGGCCATCGCGCCAATGGTCCAAATAGAGTGAACTTTCGCTAGCTATCCTGAAAAAATATCAATATAGAATACGTGTGAGAGCCAGAGCTGCCGGCCTGGCCTGCTGCCTGGCAGGCGCCGGGTGGCGTGCCAGGTCAGGCCACCTGGCCAGGCTGAATTTTAAAATTTTGGCCTGGTCTGATCCGTCCATCTAATGTCCGGCCTGGTTACCAGGCCAGGCCAGGCCAAAATGGGTGGCCTGGCTGCGAAATGATATTCATTTCTCTAGTAGTCATCTTAAAACATGAAATGACACCACGAGTTGATGATTTTTTTCACTTTTAACTTCGTCATTCATGATTGGTGAATAGTATAAACCACAAGAGTAAACGAATTGAATGAATAAAGGAGAGGAGACAATATTTATGGTTGATTTATTTCAGCGAAAATAAAGCAAACAATGATTTTTTTTAATTGAAAGACAAAACACATTTCTTTTTACATTTTTTTTTATTGGCAACAACTTAAATAAACAATGTCAACTGAACATATTCATCGTTTATCAACATCTTCTACTTCATCTATTTCTTCAATGTCAATTGATGATATTCATATCTTATCAATCTCTCCTGTTTGATCTACTACTACATCATCAAATACAAATGTTTCAACATTTTCTTCTTCGTCAAATACAAATGTTTCATCATCTTCTTCGTCAAATTCGTTATCATATTCTAGTGAACGAATATGTTATTTATTAAAACATGAAAAACAACAATACGATATTGTTGATAATAATAAATCATCTCCTGTTGGCTCATATTGGTCTATTTTTGGATTTGTATTTTCTTTTAATTCTTCGTCGTATCCCGAATTATATGTTGTTTTTGTTATTATGCTTAAATATCTTTCGATTATGCGAAGAAGTATTGATATCATCAAAAAATCTCGTAAATTCAAGTCTTTCTTGTATGAAAAATATTTAAGATGATTGTCTCTTTGTTTTAATTTGCTATTTTGTGGAAAAACTTGTTATTTCATTATCTTCATCAAAATAAATTAAATAAATAATTGAAATTGGAATCATGCATTAATGCAGAGTTATAGAATTTAATGGATTTGAAAAATCAGAAACATCAATTGGCCTGGTTTGGCCTGCAGGTCAGGCCAGGCCAGGCCGCAGGCCACTCTTTGATTTTTGGCCTGGCCTGTAGGCTAGGTCAGGCCAGGCCAGGCCGGAAAAAAGTGGCCTGTTGGCATCTCTGGTGAGAGCTAAAGTTAAAATTATTAGAATATATACTATAGCTGAGGCTCATCAGTCTAGTCGGCAGGAATGTTTTTAATGTATATTAAATTCCCATTGAAATTGGTAGAATTTCGAAATCTCTGAAAATCATCTCCAGTAATGTTATTCCATAGATCTCATGTTGTAGTTCGGAAAAAGTAGGCAAGTTGCTCCATAGAAACTTTTCCTTTGACAAGTCTATGCACATAAATAGAATCCATCTTTTTTCCTATTCATCCACAGGGTATTGTTATCAGTCTAGTTCAAGTACGATTCAATTTTCTGAGGTGAATTTTAGCGTGGATATTCTATAGACAATGACTATACTATAAGGAAAAAAATGCGTGTCAAAAGACAACTTGTTAATCAATTTATAATTGAAAAGAAGTGTACGAAAAATTTAGTCCACTACTGTATTGCTAATAAACATAATAAATGAATAAAAGACTATCTCAAACAATCATCAGTAAGTACATAAATTCGCTCAGTCAGAACTACTTGAGACTAATTCAAACAGGCAGCATCTCTTATTTTGTTTTTATAGTTGAAATACTCGATAGATTCAATTTTAAATCAAATGAAAAACAAAAAGAAATAAATACACTATAAGAGAAAAAATCGCAAAGTTCTTATAATCACATTCTCTTTATTATTCTTTTCTTGTTACCAATGTCTGCCTTCAATATATGGCAGCCATACTTCTTTATTTGTTTTAAATCATGAGTCGATTTCTGGTAGACAATAAAAAAAACTACAAAAGAAAAAGAAAAAATCTCTTGTGCCTTAAAAATACAGATCAAATAAAAGTCATGTTGTGCAATAACGTGCATTACACATACTCAATGGTGGCAAAAAATAAACATAAAAACTGTTACAATTGACAACTGAAACAGAGAAATGGAATAGACAGGTTGAAATATATCCTTCGAAGCATATATTCCCACTAATTTTTGTTTCTATCATTGAGGGTAATGTTCCATTGAACCATCCTGCTAGATAAGCACCACAATGATTTATTCCTGGAGATATCATCGGTATAATACTACCTCCTGTACCCATAAAACGAATCCATCTACCACCAATACTTGTATTGAATAAGGGTCCATTATCACAGGAACCACCTATTCCAGACGTAGCTATACTGCGCAAAGGATCGTTCACAACTGTATATGATGAACAAGGTGGATCACCACTAACTCCACCATTACCAACATCATAGATTGTTGATGCTGTTGTGTCTAAATATTCATCAATTAAGTCAATGAATTACAATTTTCTTTTTTATCTTTAATAACATGTTATGCTACTAATATTTTTACCAGAATATGAATTAGCATTGTCTGGTGTTATTGATGATGTTATTTTATTTGTTGTATTCTGTGAATTTCGAAGAACAATCATCATAACTATCAAAATAATTATCACCAAAACCAGCAGAGTAATAACGCTGAATATCATTATTTTTGTTCGTTTGCTATTACAATGTTCTCCATAACGCGTTACAAACCTTGTTGATCTAAGAAAATTCTTTTTTCTCCGTAAAAAAAAAGCTTTTGCAAAATAAGTCCTACTTTAAAGTTGTTGATGATGATGAAATCATCTCAGGAGAGATTTCTTCCAGTCGCATTGTTGAAGAAAGATGACTTAAACTGCTTACAGTAGACAGTGCCAAATGGAAGTTTTTTTATTGGATAAATAACTCCAATAATAATAGAGTCATCTAATTTAGTAATCGAGCTCACTGTAATAGTACGATCGTTCGCTATATACTAGTTTACGAGTGTACTTCGCTTGGTAATTTATAGAATGATGAATAGACAAGAAAAAAAAATTAAATTTGTTATTATTCAGCTTTTGATTATTTTGAAAAAAAACAATAACTGATTTCAATGGAGGAAACTAACAAGGTTTCTTTTTTTTCTCTTATTTTTTACCATTCTTAAACTTTAATCAAAAGCACATCTCGTCATCAATTTGTTACAAATACTGTCCATACGAGCTATTTTGAAATTTATGTGATCAAGTGACGCAAGAGAGAGAGTAAGCAAAGTGATTACATGATCAACACTCTATTAGCTAGTCACGAAGAAAAGCGAGTCGTTACTTAAAGAAATAAGGAATATTTTAGATCACGTCTGTCGCAGACATTACTATTTTCTCAAGAGTCAGCTAGTATCATTAAGTCGAAAGAAAGAATATACAAAAATACAATGAACAGACGAAATTACAACTAAGAAATGTTTATAATCCCTAAACAATAGTGTCGATTTCACGTTTAATATTTTTTCAGATACAAGTTACTCCGAGTAACAAAAATTGTAAAATGGATAATGGATTCAATCAATACTATATTAAAATTTGGGCTGTTTTGGGAATAGATGCCGAGACAACTCACGAAAAACTTACAACAGCATTGGAACTTAATGCTCTATCATGTCCAACAGTTATATGATAGTCGAAGTATTTTCATGAAGGAAAAGAATGTCAATGATGGATATCCACATGATTGTTCGATTTCCGAGCTAATCGATGGAAATATTGAATTGAGCAAAATTCTATGACGGATCATGATAGTTATGTAATACTGTTGCAGGTGATTAGACCTGGATTTATCATAGGCAGATTCGACGGGTATGGGTGTCTTTATTCATGTGTCTGATGGAGTTGACTGTTTGTCAACCCTTGGAGTAAAACTAGTGAAAGAGGATGATGCTTATTGTATAAAACTATTACATATCTCTTTTATTTTTTTTCTGCCTATCTTTCCTTTTCTCATTCTTTCGTTTCTCTTTATATGTACTTTCCTAGGTAATATACCCTAAGTTTCTCTACTAAAATGTTATATAGGTTACGACTAAACTAGATTAAAGAAAACTTGATCTCTATTTTGCATGTATTGACGCCAATACGAAGAATATTGAAGTGAGTTGTAGAGGCGAGTCAACATAAACAAAGAAAGAAAGTATTGATGAGCTGTCATTTTGAATCAAAGCTCTCCTCCAACACTTTTGACGTCACATCTGAATTTTTCCAATCTATTCAGTTCTTAGCGCAAAGCAATGCTCTCTCTCAGAACAAAGAAAGACTTCTTTCAATAAAAGCCATTATTTTTTTCACAATTCTAACTATGACTTTTTTTTTGTATCTTCATGTTTGTTGATCTACGACGTTCAGCCGAGTCTCAGCAGGCGCAACACAGGACTTCTTTCTTCTTGTTAGCTCATTATATTTATTTAGAATCAGAAATGTTGAGAGATGCATTAGGCGCAGAAATACTGTCACTTGTGACAGAATTGGAAGAAGGCATACTGCTCCTTTTTTGACATATCGTTTGGCAGTTTTTACGATATCTTTGCACTTTTGTTCAGTATTAGTTCGACTATGCGCAAATGATAATTTTGAATGAGACGTTTTGCAAATCAACGAGAAGAACCACAGCTAGCAAGTCAGCTTCATAGACGATAAAGCCTCATAAACTTTTGCAAATATCTGATAAATGTACATTCTAGCATCAAGCGATGTTGTTTTCCAGTTTGAGTTTCTAGTATGAACAAATATGCCTGAAGAGAATATCAAGTTGAAGATGTACATTGTATACATTGAAAAGTAGGTTCTTTCTCTCTCTTCACATAGCTGAATCTCATGATGATATTATTCTACTAAAAAAATGAACTTATGTGACTTTCTAGATGTTTCAACCGTTCCTCTTACAATAATATGGAAAGAAAAATAGGTGGCTATACGAAACAACTCATCACTGATCAATTATTGCTCTCCTTTTTCTTCCACTTTCACTTGATTGACGGAACACTTCTATTATTTCTCGTTTTGCTCTCTAGTTCGCCATGTGCTCTCGTCTCAGTTCATCATCTCAACGTGTTGTTATTGTACTTATTTTATTGGTCTTTTCATACTGGCTGAGTAGATATTAATCTGTATCAATTGTGCATCCTTTAGTCATACATCTTCTGGTGATCATTATCAACGTGGTCTTGTCACATACAGTTTCTCATTGGCCTGTGTCACTCTTTTACTAAAAGTGTTTCTGATACTTACGTTTTTTGCTTTAACTATCGACTATGAATCTACATGTGTATGCCGCGAAGAATATTATAAGTGTTAGATCTTGTTGTCATTATGGCTTGCAGTCAGTCTGGGCACTGTAGCACCGATCATCTTGCTTTCTATTTCTCATCATGCAGAAAGAAAAAAAAATTCACTTAGCTGATCGCTTCACCTTGCAAATATTTGTCTATTGCCAATGATACCTTTGTTTATGTTGGTGCCCATAATTATGTCTTATTGCATAATGGAAATCTGTTGGCAAGCTAATGAAGATGACAATCGATTATAAAAACAAGAACATCTTTACTGAAGTGTTTATGCTTTATCTATACGATCATGAATGAACCATCAAGAGACGATTGGAGGCAACTACGACACTTAAAATATGTATTATATTGAGAAACAGCACCATGCAAACTATGAACTGTGGTGTTAGTTAGAGAACAATAATACTTATTTGTTGAGTTTTGAGTCTGTGAAGAATCAATAAGAATCGCTTATTCGAAAGAAATGAATCAGCTGCTTCCTTTAATTTTGTTTCTTTACTTGTATTCAAGTGCATCCGTTCTTCTATTTACCTTCTCGAATAACTTATTCATTTATCAATAAAAGTATATTACCTATACTTAAGAAAAGGAGAGACCCATTGCTAAGAAACCAAAAAAAGAATCTAGTATGGTGACAGAGAATGAAACAGATGAAGATGAACGTGAATCATCTTCTAAACGGTTGAAGATTGATCAAAACAGTGATTCAACAACAATATGTTCAACGTCATCTAACGAAAGAGATCCTTGTACAGGTCTAGCAGTAGTCAAACAATCCGTTGTTTTAGGGCTCTAACAACCTGATGTGAAATTTCCAAACACTTAATAACTGTCATTTTTGTCAACAATGGTACAGTATTTATCCATGATTAGAATATAGTGAAGCTTAAGATCGTGACTTTTGTTGCGTATGTCATTTATCTTTTCGAACTGATTAAACAGGTGAATGATTCATTCTAACTGATTTTAAAAATTGGCAAAATGGGTCTGTTAGAGGCTTAACTGTCATTAGTCTTCTATTCCTCACAAAGAAGTTTTAGCAATATTGAAATGTATGAAACATAATTATAGTAGCAAGAGTGATGTTTTAAAATTATTAGGCACCCAACATGCTAAGCAAGTTGCAGAAAATCGATCATATATAAGCGAAATAATAAAATCAATTGTGTAGGTAGCGAAAGAAGAACTTGCATGTAAGCTGTTCAAATATTATCGTCATTTTTCCTTTTCATTGTGAGAGTGTGATGTGAATTTTTAATCAAATAAAGGGTGGCCAAAAAGTTTCGACCTCTCTCAGTAAATCGATGATATTTATAATAAATCTATATATTGTTAAGTGATCGAAATATATAATTTTGTAGAGGAAGATTAGGGCTATCATCTGAAAAAAAAATATTTCGAAATGCATAAATGTAATACAATGTTATGATCATTTGACTAACCTTGAGTGAATATTTTTATCCTACTTTTTTGAGAAAAATAAACAAAGAATTTTTTATAATAGTTGTATGTTTTTTGTTCACAGGGATTTTTTATCAGACTTGTCATTTTAATAGAATAATATTCACCATATTTGCTGATTATGATTGCAGTTTTATAACACTATGTATATTGTTAATGGCTTTCATATTGACAGTTTTATTTTATGAAGTTCACTGTTTCCAATTTATTCTCTAAGACGCCCATTGCTTAGATTTTTCTTTCCGACAGTTTTATAGTTTTGTTAAAAACTTCGAGTTTTTGTTTTAAAGCCAAATACAGGGTGTTAGATGAAAATAAGAAGAAAAATAAGGGCTGATTTTACTCGATTATGTTGTCTTTCCGATTTATTTGAATTATAATGTATATTTTGTAAAAAGGTAAATCCATCAGTTTCGATAAATTTGACAAAACACAAATCTGAAAATAGATGGTGATGAACCTTATAGTGACAGTAAATATTAAATGATTATACTAAAAACAAATACGTATGATATCAATGTAAAAGATCACCAAAAACATTTGAAATGGAGAATGAATGTATTGTCATTACGAAGAATGCATGGTTAGTCAGCGAATAAAATTATTTCAGCATTATGGAATTATTATACACCAAATTATATCAGCAAAAGTGGATTACTTTCGTTTGTTAAAAGAACAATTAAACGTAGTGCTATCCAAGATGCTCGTAGATCAGGAAGACCCAAAACCGCAAGAACCATGTTAAATATTACAGAAACTCGTGAAAGACATTTGAACAAACAAAATCCAGACCAACGAGCAACAGCTCAAAAATTGGACATCGCCAGATCATCAATTCAAAATATTTTGAAATATGACTTAAATTTAAAACCTTATCACAAAACACGTACGTCCAAAATTACTGAAATACCTACTGCAGCAAGACGGAATAGTGCAAAGATATTATTGAGAAAATATGAAAGAAGTCGAAGATTCAAATATTACAAATGGGACAAAATGGTAATCACAGATTTTTGTGGTAAGATAGGAGTCAGACAAAAAAAAACAACAGCAAAAACAATATTGTTTATGGGGTTAACAAACATTCAGTACCAAATCAACTGCTATATTTACCGGAAGAAAGTTATGAGCGAGGGTTTATGCTTTTATTGATGAGTTTTTAGACCAGTATGAATGGGGAAAAGGTGCTAAGAAGACAATAAATGCTCATCGATATATTGATTTATTCGAAGAAGTTGATGTACCTACAATGAAACAATTGTTTCCAGATAATGATTATATTTTTGAGAATGATACATCTCGTATTCACCGTACATCTGGTGTTACAAACTTTGTAGAAGAAAATATACCTGAACGTATCAATATTGATGATCAAGCTACGAAGATGGATGATATATGACCAATAGAAAACTTGTGGAGTATCACTTGACAACACTTAAGTAAATATGAGTTTAATTCCTTACATGATGTCAAACAAAAAATTATTGATATATGGAAAAGTTTTTTCCTGAAGAGACATGGGAGAAAATGATTAATAGGATTCCAAAAAGATTAAAAGCAACCGTTCGAAAACAAGGCCAACGTATCACAAAATTTGATTATTGATATTTATACAAAATGTCGATGTGATAAACTTATAAATAATTTTGATATTTTCTTGAAACAAATTTTTTTAAACCTTTCTCAAAAAATGTAAGATAAAAATATTAATTCAAGATTAGTAAAATGATCATAATATTGTATTACATTTATGCATTTCGAAATATTTTTTTTCAGATGATAGTCTTAATCTTCCTCTACAAAATTATATATTTCGATCACTTAACAATATATAGATTTGTTATAAATATCGTCGATTTACTGAGAGGGATCGAAACTTCTTGACCACCCTTTAATTTTCTTATTTTTCTAGTTTGTGGTTGTCGTGAGAACGATGAATCATTCCATTGATTAAGAAACTTCTGAAAACATGAAAATTTACTTACTCAATATTATTCTGTTATGATAGATAAAACAACAGACATTACTAATCATGAACAAGTATTATTGATAATCAGATATGTCCATAAAAAGTTCAATGCTGATGACATATTTGTTGGTTTTGAGTGTACATCTTTTACGACACGAGAAGCATTATTTGAATTGTTGGTTAAATGGTTACGTAAATTTGATTTAAAATTGCAGAATGTAGTTGGTCAATTTTATGATGGTGCAAGTTGTATGCCAGGAGAATACAAAGGAGTGGCAACTTGTCTGAAACAAGTATCTCCTTTAGGTAAATTACGGAAAATTTTGGTGTTGTTTCATCGCTTTATAACTTGATTGAAAGTTCAGCTAAACGTCACCAAGTTTTTGAAGATATCCAAATGGAAACTGCTCTGCAATCTCTTACAGGTAAACAGTTGTGTGATACACGTTGAATATGTCGTTTCGAATGCTTAAAATCGGTTTTACATGGCTTTGATAAAATCGTAAATACATTAGAAGTGATGAACATTTAAATTAACAACTGTTAATTTTCAAAAAACTGATACTCTCTGCATCAAAATATAGTTCCTTTTCATTGCTTATTATTATTTTCTTCAATAACCAATAAAAATTATCTATGAAACACTTCATTTATATTTTTCTCACTTGTGAATAATTAAAAATTTCTTTCATGAGGTCAAAACTATAACTTAATTCACAGGCATATTTTGTTTTGGCTTATTCATACGAAAAAAAGCAAACTTCAAACTAGCTTCTGCTACATACTAAACAATCAGCCCATCCCAAGTAACCAAAGTAAAGATATTTCAATTTTTTATCATATTACTATTTATGACTCACCCTGCATGTACATACTTACAAATCAAATTAAATTAATAAGTCATTTCTTACAAAAGGGTAACAACATTAAGGGTGGGTGTGGTGTAGGTGTGGGAGTGTGGGCGGGTGTGGTGGGGGTGTGGGTGTGTGTGGGTGCGGGTGGGGTGTGGGTGTCGATGTGGGTTGGTGTGGGTGTCGGTGTGGGGTGTGGCTGTGGCTGTGGCTGTGGGTCTTCACCTCACCGACACCCACACACCCACACTCCCATCCACACCCACACTCACACACCCACACCCACACCCACACCCACCAACACCCCATACCCACCCACACTCCACACCCACCCACACTCACACTCACCCTCTTCACTAAAAAGCTTACGCTTTCTATAGGAATTAGTGGTAGCACCACATATGTACGTGTTGGAGCTCCACTTCTCGCTCCTTCGATGACAACTCCTGTCGCCCCAACTAATAATTATAAAGCTACCAGAAATAGTGTCAGAAGTGTTGCGCAGACACCTTTTTTTTATAACGCGTGGCAAACTCGTCTATGGTAATTATTTCGATTTCAACAACGAAGTCTTTATCGATTGGCTTATTGCTTATATAGAGTTACTCAACACCTCGTAACATGATCATTTTCGTAAGAAGTAACTTTTAAATTCAATACAAGTTTAATTATATCTTTTGTATATACTTTAGTCAGATAAACCCGAAAGTAGATCACTGCAATTATGCTACAATGTTTTCCATGATGAATGTTTGCATCTGTATATTGACCTAAACCAGTCGTGTGACGTTTACCTATAGCAAAGTTGTTTTTCTCAGAATAACAATCACTATGGATTTCATCTACGGAAATTCAGAACCGTTTTTATTTCTAGTCATTCTTTATTAAAATGTGTATTGCAAACAATATATACGACAAATGGCATCAGTTAAATTGAAACGAAGTTCTTGTACTGGAATAAATTGGAAAGAACAAAAGGAAGGATGCCATGTCCCTTGTTAAAATAAATAGCTCATCCAAGTAAATTTTCACAGAAAAACTGAATCTAATTAGCGATGAAAAAAAATTGATTAAAAAGCTTTTCAGTCATAAACGCTCAAAATTTCAATTTTTTTAGGTAAAATGGGCTTTTTTTCATGAAAATAACTTTTAAACCGCTTTTCTGCGAAAATCTGATGAAATTGGACAGAAAAACACACAAAAAAAGTGGAACAAATGGAAAAGTAGAAAAAATCTGCTAAAACACGACTTTTTGTGCGTTTTTTGAACAAGCCGAAAAAAACGGATCAATATCGGGTAAAAGTCACTATTTTTGTTCTAAAAACGTCAAAAATCGATATGACTGTCTGCTTGAGAAGGCATTCCTTTCTTTTTCTTTCTTTTTTTTCTCTTTCTTTCTTTTTTCTTTAGTTTTTTCTTTTTCTTTTTCTTTTTCTTTAGTTTTTTCTTTTTCTTTACCTGGCATATATCTCCTAAATAAATATTAGTCAAAGCGAGACATAAACAAGAGATGCGTTGTTTTTATCGATAACCATTGACGCTACACAGTACTCAAGACAAATTTCTTCGTAATGATAGCAATTCTATTCGCAAGTCTTTTTGTAATCGTTATTATTCTGCTGTATATCTATGTGAAACGAAACTACTCTTCATCACCAGATGATCTACCAGGGGTGAGACCGCATGTGTTTTTTGGTAATCTGATTAACTCTGGTATATTAACGAGAGAATCAACGTTTCATCAAGTCATGATCGACTATCAACGACGTTATGGAGATAAATTCCAATATTGGTTCGGTTCCAATCGATGCTTAGTTTTCTGTCGAATAGAAGACGCTCAAACGATATTTGCCGATCGTCATACGTTCGAACAGTCACCTTTATTTGTTCTAAACTTCGATCTTCTTTGTCCAAATGGTATCATAATGTTGACTGGTGCTAAATGGAAGCGACATATTCGAGTTCTCTTACCTATGCTAAAACGCGCCAAGGTCATCGGCCATTTAGACACGATTGTTCAATGTGCTGATCGTTTTATTGATCGAAATCTTCATCATGACAAAGTTCATCGAGATTTGGTCGCATACTGTCAATCATTTACGATGAATGTCATCGGATTCATCGGCTTCAACTACGATTTCGACGTACATGTTGACTCGCCGATTAAAAAAGCTTTTCAGGATTTTATGTTCTATGCTGTTTTGCTAATGATCACGCCTTGGGTGCCTCGATGGCTAGGAAAAATCTATTTGCGATGTAATTGGAAATATCAACATGCCTATCGAGTGATTCATGAGTTGACAGAAAAACTGACCGAAGAAGAACAAAACAAACAAAGTGAAATGGACGATCAACGACCAAAGAATCTGATTGCTTCAATGGTCTCATCATTGAACGCGCAAGCCAATGATGAACAAACATCATCTGGTCTAACACATTCCGAAATTTTCGACGAAATTATGATGATGATTCTAGCTGGGTATGAAACGACATCAACCGCTCTAGCCTGGTTCATTTTCTTCGCCAGTAAAAATCCTCAAGTACAGAAAAAGATGAAAGATGAATTACTTGAACATCATCTTCTGATGACTGATGATCACAAATGCGTGCCACCGCTAACATCAGACGATTTGACTTCACTAACCTATTGCGAATGTGTGACGAAAGAGGTTAGTTTCGTTTCGAAAGTTTAGATTGTTTTTACTATGCTCTTTTCTACATCCAGGTCTTACGTTTAGCTCCTGTGGCCGCGCTCACGACTCGGATAGCTACTCGTGACACCGTCGTTGACCATACGAAGATTCATCGTGGTCAAACTGTTTTTATTCCTTTACATAACATCAACACTGATGCTCGCTATTGGAATCATGGTGATCCAAAACAATTTATACCGGAAAGGTTTCTAGCTGAAGATAAAGATCACCATCCACTGGCGATGATTCCATTTGGCGGTGGGCATCGAGCATGTATTGGACAAGAATTAGCGTGGCTCGAGTTGAAAACAATCATCGTTCGATTGATGCAACGTAGGATCACATTCGAAGATACATCGGAAAATACTGGTGGTCATGACCAACGCATTACTTGTTTTCCAAAAAACATGGCTGTACGTGTGCGCTTCGATTGACTTTTGCAATTTTACACTGATGTGATCAAAACTGTAGACAAAAAGACTGCTTAATTTTCTTCTAATATTCATTTTCTTGTGCATATTCTTGCTTATTATTATACCCATGAAAATTATGACGAACTTCTAATAGACACTAGAATTTTCTCGCTTGATCTATTTCCATTCAGATTTCACATACCGCTCTAAAGCTTCTGAGAACCAAGCATCGATCTATCAGGATGAGAAATTTTCGTAAAATGAAAATCTCGATCATAGAAACCTTATTCAATATTGATGCTTAGTGATTGTTGTCTATCCACGCCAACAAAGATAATATGATGAAGATGAACGCAAAGAAGCAATTATGTTTAGGACTAACGAGGGAACATTCCCAAGTGTCCCATCGTTTTGAGTTCGGACTCTATGCATAAGGTAGATCCCAGTGACATATGAAAAACCCCAGAAGAATAAGTGCCCTTAGGCCTTCTGTCTAGAGTTATAGGCATTTTACCGAAATTTTAGCCTTTGGCATGGTA